TCTTCTGCTTCACGACTCGCTGGACCTCCTCGTTCCAGAACCACGCTGCCTTGTCTCCTCTGAATCCACCTCGCGTCTCTCCCAGTACCTCCTTGGCGCATCGTAGGATGATCTCAGCTGCATTGCCCCAAGTCCTGCTGCACTGGTCCCTCAGGATCTGGGAGACCAACTTCCATTATCCTTCGTTTGAGGTCGCTCTTCTCTGCTTGGTGCAACTTCCACCACCGGATTCTCCTCTCGGTTCTTACCCTTGTCTTCTTGGGGAGGTCTATGGCTATGTCTGCCAGGAGGGGCCTGTGCTGGGAGCCAGTTCTTCGCCAGGGAGTACCATGTCCTTCACAGTTCTGAGGGATGATCTTTTACCAGCACATGGTCGATTTCCGTTTGTCTCCCTCCACTGCTGTAGGTGACCTTCTGAGTCTCCCTTTTCGCGAAGAACGTGCTGCAGATTTCCAGAACGTGGGATCGTGGGCCGTAGCCAGGTCCAGGATCCTCTCTCCAAGTAAGCTCGAAAAAATGCTACGAAAGCCTTAACGCTAATGTTTTGCTGTGTACCACCTTCTTTACTTGAAAATTCTTGCGACGCAGTTGTATTACGACTAGATTGCGGTGACTGCTAAACTTGCTTGAAAGAATATGTTTTATTCAAGCAAATTCAATTAGCAAACTAATCTCTTTTGTGAATACCACACTAATATTACCTAATTATCTGGAGACGTCCCACTGCAAAATCATGGAATAAGAAAAGACAACTATTGTGGACAAAAACATCGTGCACCACCATGTGGCGCACGCGGTACGCAATGCGTTAAAGAAAAAGCTACGAAATCTAGCATGATGGGGAGAAGAATTCGTCGAGTTCATCGCGTCTAGAGCTTCAGTATTCCCTGCAAACGGATTGATCAAACTCAATAGATGTAGTAATAAAAAATCTTATTTTCAGATGTACAAGGGGGGCAGCCTCGCTGCCATGCGTATGCTCCGCTGTTCAAATCCTGAACCTAACCTTGCGCAGGCTAGTGTTTCCTCGAAGAACTGGACCTGAAAACGGACTAACCTGTGATAGACGAGAAACCAAAAATGGAACAGAGTAGACTTCTACTAGAGAAGAACGGGAGTAGAAAAAGGAAGAGGGTGCTGCCTACAGGCAGTTTAACAGTCTCGCGCTCCAGTATAGCGGCACTAACTACCCGCGATCGCGTCGCGCGCTGTGCCTAGAGCGCGCTAGTTGGAAAAATCGTCAAATGTACCCCCTATTTAAAGGACTATAACTTTCTTCATTGATAACCATTTAAGAAAAGGCAGCTTTTGAATGCACAAGACTTCTAGTTTCTAAATTGTGCTGAGCTTTTTAAGCACACCTATTCTCGAGAGTGGGAGACGTCGAGGAATTGTCGAGGAAATTGAAATTTACATGCGAGTTCCCACTCTTGGAAGACAGTAGCTGTCTTCATTGGCAATGCTTTGAAAATCGGAGGAAAGCGTTGTAAAGTAGAAGATTTGCGCTTTTAGAGAGGTGCTGCAATTGTTCCAACATTCGCTACTTCGCGAGAAATTTGCGTCGAGGAAATTTTCGGACCCTCTCAAAAACTCGATATCTTCTTAGCCGTAGCAAGGTACTTCTGTAGTATGGGCACGTCATCTCAATGAAGTAAATAGGAAATGATACACTTGGCGCAGATTCATTCCGTTCTGGCGTCATGCAGCGGCCCCCACTCGTAGTCGTTTGAAAGGTGTTTTTCTGCACGGAAGTTACTTGTTCAGGCCAGAAGGTGTTCCCAGTCTCTTGAACAAAAGAACTCTTATGGCCATAGTACACTATGATCATTCCTTAATAAACCCTCCCTTTCCCACCCTGTTCCGATAAATGACGCATTTGCGGCTGCAGTATCTGACTATGCCAAGAAGACTGCGAATCTCCCCGTTTCGAACTTTCTACTAATATACTGTTCCTCCACTAAATTGGTAAATGAGTACATTAACTTAGAGTAAATATTCGCTGCCCAATTTCCTACGATTCTTCTGCAGGACGCGTTTCCTCCCTGTATCTTCGTACTAATCACTACGAACCAATCAGTGGCACTTCCATTTTAATTTTAATTCTAGATAGATGTAAGATGTCATTTGCATTACGCTAACTAAAACACTTGTCAGCGAATGAGTGGCAGCAAATATTGTGTTCGTTGATGAACCTTTTGCTTACGACCCCTCCCAGGGTCAACCGTCCGTTCGAACTGTTCGAACGAAGGGGTCGCATTTTGGTCGGAAGGGGGTCGCAATTTCGAGGACTGCCAGCCACAGGCGCGTGCGTGGCGTATCCGAGGGCAAGAATTGTTTGTGCAGACCGCATTAGATTCGATTATTATGCACAGAGACAGTTTTAGGCAAATTACGGTGTTTTCCTTGAGGAATAAAGAACAGTTGAATGCATCCCTATGAAAGGTTTGACTTCTCGGGGCTGAAATTAAAGTTCTTCGGGACCTAATTTTCTGAGGACGATTCTTCCAGACAACGGTAAAACATAAAGAAAGCAGAAATCTCGTAGTCTTCAAAAATGTCTTCGCCCTCCCCAACAAGTTCTTTGAAGGAAGTTATTATTGCTGAAAGCTCAAAAACTCGCATGTGCTGCTCAAAAACCTATGGGAACAAAATGTTCGAACGTGTGATTTTCTCGAAAAATGGATTTTGAAAAACGGTTTGGTGCTTGTTCAGAAAGAGCAAATCCTGTACTTTCACCCATGAAAAAAGTGCATCACAGAAATGAAAATGAAGTGAGTTATGGTCGCTGAAAGCCCAAAAACTCGCTTTTGCACGAAAAATGTTCGAACGGGACAATTTTTTGAAAAAGGGGTCAATCACTAAATTTTTTATATTTTGATAGAGAAATATTTGAAGTTTCTGAAACTTTTTACAGCTTTCCAAAAGGTCGCATACGAAAGATTTTATGGGCCTTCAAAGTTGAAGGTGCGCCTTCTTAGAATTTTGGGTTTTCCACTTCTAACAGAAGTACTTTCCGGAGAGTTAGGCAATCCTTGTAGTTTTCTGGAAAGCGCACCTCAGGCACAATCAAATCTACCTCAACAAGTCAAAAAAGTACGTCCCAAGAAAGTTATTCCCTCTAAAATTTTTTCTTCGCCGCGTCCCGTTCTTCCAGCGCCCGGGTGATACCTGCCGCGCTCCAAGGCCGACGCGACGACGCGCAGACGCTTTCTGGCGCAACGGATTCATGTCTAGCACTCTTATTACAAAAACAGGGGGTCGCAACTGGACCCCTCGAGAGCTAGGGGGTCGCAAAAATCCCGAAAATGTTCGAACGTGACGGTTGACCCTGCCTCCCCTTACTTCTCATCCTAGGCAAATAACGGTGTTGCGTTAGCGTTAGTACTCGGGGTCAGCTGGTCCCCAAAACATAGGCCGCCGCCGCACGCGGCGATCGGGCTCGTCGCGTGTGCGGCGATTCTGCGATGTGGAGGTTTTTACTAGTCCATGCTGTTGTCCACCGTTGCAGCCTTCACATTTGATTGTCAAGTGACGAGGTGGCTTGTCCCAAGCACAGTAAGGCTCTTCCACTTTGATGTCTCCCATGGACATGAGCGCCAGAAATTAAGTTTGGAAATTAAGAAACGCTGCGGAGAACATTGGAACTTTCTGAAACAGTCTGATGTGAACGAAGCCATAGTAAACTGCGTATTAACGTCATGTAGAATGGGGCGTCATGTGAAAACATATCGCCATACTGCATGATCTACTCTCTTTCACGCCATTGGGGAGAAGGGGGTCAGTCAAATTAAACAGGTCACTCAAACAGCGCCTAAGTTGCTCATTCGGCAGTAACGAATCGATAAAATTAACGAACTTTCACTCCAACAGCCAAAAGAGTGGAAGAGGGCTAAAACCATATTGTTTCCACAGCTAATAAATCACACCGCCACATCCAACCACCACAGCCTTCGCCGCGTCGATCGCCGCGTGCGACGGCGCGGCGGCGGCCCCAGGAGGACAAACGCCCGTCTCCCGCCATACGACCACCTGTCCAGGCTTTCCTCGACCGTTATTCACCCTGGTGGGAAGTTAGGGCAGCCACTTGACATTCGTGAAAAGCTGGAATGTTCCAGTTCACACTAATTCGCCGAGAAACTGCATCGTGATGTACCCCCCCACTTTCCGAATAGCCCCTTTCTCGTCATATGAATATGATAACCATGTTCTTTGGGTCAAATTATACCCGTCATTCGTAACCGGTATTCTGAATTATAGACCTCGAATATAATACTCATTCGTAGGATAACACTCATGGTTTGTGCCCACGCTTTATCAGCGAAGACAAATATCGGAAAAATTCTAAACCTCTAAAAGCAGGGCGGTAGTACGGCACACAAAACCCATCTATTCCCGCCAGCAATTTTGTCTAGGCGTCATGTTAGAGAATGCGTGTGCACTGCACGAATACTTGAATGCTACAGCAAGACATATTTGAAATGGTTTTTTTACCAGGGACTTCTGCTTGCTCATGTCTCGAGTATTTCTGGATTCTGAGGGTGCTGTGGCTAGGAGGTGCGTGACTACTGTTTTCATGAACTAGTTTTTCATTGTCTTTCGATTATTATAACAATCAAAATCGTTACCAGCTACGGCTTCACATCGTGAATGTTTTGAAGTTTTCAACTTCTCATTAGTAACAGTTTCTCGTTCTTTGCGGTATTTCGGAGCCGTGTTAGTGAGCCTTGTAGTGATTTGATTTAGCTTGTGCTGCTTGTAGTTTTAGAAATCTGTTTCTATTCGTTTCAGGAATTTCATGTGAAATTATCTTTGAAGTGGTGTGAGTACAATGCTTGGAAATCGTCGTTTCTTAGCAACACAACGTCCGTCAAACGGAAAAAAGCGGGTTGACATCGTGTATCGTTCAAAATGGATCACGAATAATTTTGTAGTAGGAGACCCCTTGGGAGCAGGTACGCCGAATATTTGTTATTCGTCAATCTTTTCTCTTCTTTTTTACTTGGTTTTGTTTCTTGTTTTTCTCTAACCCTAGAATCTGTCATGCAGGTTCATTCGGAAAGGTGTGGACTGTTGAATGCCGTAAAAAGCCCGCTCAGTTGTTTGCATTGAAGGTCCCCGCTCCCGGATTTAATCCTAAACATATTGCTATGGAACTGAAGGTACGTGTCTACCGTGCCTCTGATTTGTTGCATCATTGTCAAGCGATCATAGTTCATGATTATCTCGCCTCTTTTGTACGCGCGGCAGCTTACTACAACTGAAGTGCAAACTGTGGTTCCAATCTAATCCAAAAATGTCAAGAATTGTTGAACAATAATCTTAAGAGGGGGGAGGCGTATTCCGTATCATAAAAATGAATGCGACTTTATTTCCGTCGTCACCGCCGTTGCGCCGTAACTTTTGATATCGTGTGTGGTAAACGCCATGATCAGGAAGATTTGTTTTTAATCTTAGAGTGGTTAGACTAAAGTGTATTAAAACACGTCCAAATCCTTATCTTAATATCATCGCATGTTCGCGACGTGATATTGGAATTTTTGCGTCTGTACATTTGAATAGTCGTTATCGTCGTTTTCCATTGAGGTTTCAGGCGAAAAACTTTCTTTTTTTTTCTTCTGATCATCTGTTTGATTTCTTTCTGATCTTGAGCCTTTCATGGAGGAAACGAATAATTTAAGGTTATGCGGACGATATCAGGCGGGCCAAATGTTGTCGAGTTCATAGCCGCGTATCGCGAATTAGATCGAGTGTTTGTAGTAATGAATTATTTCCCTCATGATGATATTTTCGTAAGTTTATTTGTGTTTACGCAGTAAATTATTATGCAGATAATCACCTGAGTTCTGCTCCAAGATTCGAAATTATTTAGTGATGTTTGTTCTGGTTTCAGAGCCTTATTCACAAAATTCCACTCGAAG